GGCAAAGGCTAGGAAAAACAAACTCCATTTTTAAAATCCCCTGCCTTGGCGTTCTTGGTTGAGCAAAGGCTAAAGAAAGTGTCTCAATAAAAACACTTATCTTGGACAGATGTTAACTGCATCCAACTACTGTCTTGTAGGAGGCCTCTTAGGCAAAGATATTAGGGGTAAGTAGAATAATTCTGCTAACCAGCCTCAAACCCTTTCTTCATCTATTAGGCTGGTGTAGATGTAAACCTGTGTTACAGTTTTTTCTGCCTAGGATGATGAATGCTGGATCTTTTTTACTCTTCTCAAATGTTTTTCTTTATGCCTCCTTGATTCACAAAGACTCCAATAGTCACATGCTTGGCTTGGGGTATACATACCCACCAATTCACCTATTTGTCATAAAATCAGTTTCAATTCCTTTGACCATTTTTTTATGTGCTTCCGCTTAGCACCTCTTCACACTATCACCTTTCTATTAACTTATTGATTACTTCATTGCAAAGATGTAATTTCTGGTCAAATTGATCATGCTCTCTCTCTCTTTACCCCCCTGCCAATATTGTTGTTATTGTTATTGCTAATTCATTATTTTAATGCTCATCACATTGCTGACAATTAAAGCCTATAACTTCTCAATCTCTTAATCTGATAGTTACCTTTGTGACTTGTTTTCTTGACAACCCTAATCATTTACTTTCACTCCTTGATTTGCCTGGTCTCTGATCCTAGCTTATGTTCAATTTCTCCTTCCTAAGCTCCATTATTCTCAGTTCACTAAATATTGTATCTTATCTCAGAAGTTAGGCTCTAACAAGAGTAGGTCTAACAATCCATCTCTCATTCATGGGGTTGATCTTATTAAGTCTCGCAATGATACAGCAAAAACTTTTGAAAAGAACTTTTCTGCAAATTCGACTCTTGAATCTTATGGCCATTCTCTTCCTTTCATTCCAATTAAACAGGTTAACTTATTGTTAGACATTTAAATTGTTCTAGCTTCCTTTGCTAAAGTCATCTCAATTAAATTATTCTATGGCTTGTGGTCTAGACAAAAAATCTTTCATAGTCTTACAAAGTTGTTCTCCAGAACTCTCTTCAATTCTCTAAAAATATTTAATAAGTACTTGACTGAGTCTTGTTTTCCTGCCTGCTGGAAAATGACATCTGTTGTTTCAATCTTCAAAAACTCCAGAAATCATTCTGACCCCTCCAATTATCATCCTATCAGTCTTCTTTCTTTTATATGCAAGGTCTTTGAGTCTTTGATCAACAAATTTTTCTCATTTTATCTCGAATCAAATAACTTACTTTCAGACAATCAGTTTTTTGATCCTCTTGCTCTACAGCTAACTTGGTAACTGCTAACTGCTGCTAACTGCTAACTGAAAAACTGCTAACTGCTAACTGCTGTGACTGAAAGATTTTATTGTGTATTTTATGGAGGCTGACAGGGCTATTGCTCTTGACATATCTAAGGCTTTTGATAAAGTTTGGTATGCTGGTCTTCTCCATTATCTTGTTTCATAAAGTTTATCTGGGAAAGTCATTGAGATTAAGGCCAACACTCTCCTTCATTTTCAGTAACTTCTGGGCTACCTCAAGGTCTTATCCTTGGTCCTGTTTTTTTTTCTAATCTACATTAATGATCTTTCCGACATCTAAAGTAGCTTTTTTTTGTGCTAATGAATCGACTTTATACTCCTGTCTTGACTAAAAATCTTCTGTTTTTGATTGCATAGAACAGTTAGATCTTGAATTGATCTCACTTCTCTAACAGGATAGGGCTCACAGTGATTTGTAAATTTCAACTCCAACAAACCTCAATTTGTAGGTTGTATGAGTCTTTCCTGACTCACACAACCTACAAATTTTTAAGTCTGTCAATTGTTTCCTTGCTTTTTAGCTCTTTCATGTTGTTTTTTTTGTTCTATCAACTCCCAACTTAATAGTGGTTGCTTGCAGCCTTGAATGAATCAGAATAAAAAAAAATATATGGTATTGCTTCAGATCTAATAGTAGCTAAGATTTTCTGAATCATTTCCTTATTGTTGATTTGCTCTTCTGCATCTATATAATAATGCATGTCATAAATAATTTAATGCATCTATAATCATTTGCATGTCATAAATAATATTTTTTTTAAGGTTTTTTTTTTGTTATTGCTTAATGGGAAATGTGTTGATAACTGTTCGTTGTTCAATAGGTTTTGAAAATGATTTTTATGTTCTTGCTTGAAACTGTCACCTAACTGGATTAGATACTGGTTGTTATATTAGTTTACTTGTTGCAATTTTGGACTTTTTAGAATTTATTATTTGGCTGTTGTTGCCAAAGAGGATTTACTATTTGCTTACTAGTTTTTAAGTTTTGATTTAAGAGTACTGTCAACTACTTAGAGTTATACAAAAAGTCTCCAAATGCAATTCGAATAATTGTGAATAATTATGCAGAGAAAAGTCTGAGCTGAACTAAATACATGAACTAATCAAGGTGAAGAGTTTAGTATCACATAAAGAGTGGACACCTGAACATAATAGTTGTAAAGTATGAATATAAATTTTTTTTTACCAATTTACCAGTAATAAAAAAATTCATTAATTTTTCAATCCTGAATAACAAGTAAAAACAAAACAAATTAATTTGTATAGTTTGCAGCTTTTTGTCCATAGTTCCTAACATAATATTGGTAGCCTTAATTACAACCTTATTAGAGGTGAATTCGTGTAATAATAGTTCAACCTAAACCTGAAAAAGTTAATGTTAATATTTTGCCTCAAACTGAAACTTTTTAAAAATCTTTTTTTATAATTTATCTTCAGTACTTTTTTATTATAAAAAATAACTTTTTTTTTTTTTGAATATATATTTTTCCTTTCATTATAACAATTTCTCAGTTGTGTTTTATTGAGTTCTTAAAACCTTCTAAAGTATTACATAGTTATATTAATTTTGATTAAGGTTTTTTTATAAACTGTGTTTCTTTACTCTAATAAATTAAAGGTTTATTTAAAGTTTAAGAACATGCACTTTTTGAAGGTTAAACATTAATGTTTTGGCATTAATGTTTACACATTAATGTTCTTTTTCTTATATTGCTGTATTATGTATGCATACTTTTTTCTTACATTGCTGTAATATGTATGCATACTTTTGCTTAAGTATGCATACTTTTTATTTTGCAGTCAATATTGTATTTTGTTTGGCGATATATTTGTTGTATCTATTTTTGTTCATTTTGATTGTTTATAAAAAGTTTTACTTTATTATTGAAAGAATTTTTTGGTTGCCTCATCTGTCTTGTTTTTATCATTGTATTAGTATATTTTTGAATACACTTTTTTTAATCTTTATATTTGTCTTGACAACTGTCTAAATTTCTTTTGTTTGGAAAAATCTCTCTTCTATTCTTGCATATTTCATTTTTTTCTCAGGCGTTCACTGCTCATGTGTAACCATTTGGCAAATTTATGTGCCAAAGTTATTAAGTTTTTTTTTTTAATTTACAGTTACAAATATCATTAGTTTCTTTACGCCATAAAAGTTTATTTACAGTTTAAGTTTCTTTACCACATAAAGGTTTATTTAAAGCCATCATTTAAAGCCACCTCAATCAATATTTTATTATTTATAATGATACTTATCTAATAAATGGTTATGATGGTCTATGATGTGTTTAACTAATCCAACATGTCATTGTGAAAAATTAATGAAAACTTTTTTTGTTTTATTTAACACGATTTGATTAACTGATTTGCAACTTATCCAAGTTTATAAAAGTTGGATTTTTTGTGAGTTGGTTTCAAAATAAACTTTAAAGTAAATTAAAATTGTCAAATTTTATTTGCAAAAACAGGATTGGAATAGTGATGTACTCATAGTGATGTACTTTTGATTTATTTTTTTTTAACTATAAAAATGTAATAACCCTCACTCTTTGTATATTAATTTGATTCAGGTTGAAAATAATGAAATGACTTTAAAGTTCTCAGATGTTGCAAAATTCTCTCAAAACTTTTTAAAAATTATTTCCAATATGTTAACCAAAAGCCAGTACAAAAATATTTTGATGATCTTATATTTTATTTTATTTTTGTTACTATAGTTACTATAGGTAGTTCTATGCTTATGTTAATACGTTTTTATGAATATTGAAGACAATATTTCAATTAATAGCTTTTAGAATTCAATAGGTAACTGTTATCGAAGTCCAGATTTTTTAAAAAGAAGCAAAAAAATTTATAAAATTTGAAAAAGCAAAAATGTATAAAAATTTGAAGTTATTTAATACTTGCAGAATGCAATTGCTGCAATCAGAAAGTTGTAAAACAGAAGACGTCTTATTTAAAGTTTTGGTAAATTTTGAATATATAAAACTTACTGAAATAAATAGATTTTTTTAAATTTACAAAATGCAAAAACATGCTATATAGGACTATATTTTGACAGAAAATGGAAAACAAGACTTTATCAAGAGTATGTTGTTTGTTAAACTCCAATAAATTTCAATGTCCAATATGTTTATATGCAATTAATGAGCTGCAATTTTTGCAATTTTACTCAAACACTTGATTGGATGTACCCACATTTGGTCCATGGGCCGATTGAAAAGTACTAAATCAAGATTCATTGCAAACTGAGATCTTGACTATATTTCTTTAATGCATATAATCTGAAACAATTATCAAGTTAATTTCGTCTGTGACATCAAGTTAATATTATTTGACACATCAAACTAATTTCATTTGAATCAACATATTTAAATGATTGCCGAAAAAAACTATCCTGAAAATTTAGCTCTATGGTGTCACTCAAATGTGTTACAATTAGTTAACTTTTTATTCTATGGTGTCACTCAAATTTGTTACAATTAGTTAACTTTTTATTCTATGGTGTCACTCAAATGTGTTACAATAAACTTTTTATTCTATAGTAATTAGAAGTTTTTTAAATTTATGGAATAGTTTGGCTTTAGTTCAGTTAAAGGAATATTAATAAATTTTTTTTTATAGATTATGTCACCTCCAGTTTCAGCATTAGACACTGGGTTGATTGATCCTAATTCAGAGATTTCTCGAGGAATTTACATTTATGGTTCAATTTTTATTTTATGTGCAATTATTGTAGGATTTACTGTTGAAGTTACATATGCAAGACTAAAGAAACCAAAACTTCAACCATTCAGTAATATTTTATTTCAATATAGTTAGACATTTTTTTATTAAAAATTATTTAAAACTCTTTAACTTCATTTTTTTTTTTTTCATCAACTATTCATCAACCATATACATGCATTCATTCATTCATTCAAATACAATCATTCATTCATTCAAATACAATCATTCATTCAATTAATTATTGAAAAAATCTAGCCAACTCTAATAAGGCTGCATTTTACAATTGAATTTTTAAATTTTAAGTACATGAATAAAATAAGAAATAAATATAAAAATAGTTCAACAATTTTTTTTCTTAATAGAAAAAGATGATTATTCATAATTTTTTAAAATGATTTTAAAATTTAAAACGGTAAAAATAATGATAACAATAAAGATTTTATAAATTACTTTATAGATGCAAAAGAAGCTTTTGAAGTGAAGTTGTCAAAGTTTGTGCGAAAATTTTGCAACTACTTACGTATTGATATAGAAAGTCAAATTGAGAAAGATGAAACTGAAATGAAAGCTTACTTCAGACAGAAAGGTAAGGAAATAGCAAGAATTAAATTTTATATGCTATTGCTATGGTTTTTTCATTTTTGTTTATCACAAGTGTTATTCACTTGTAAAGAATTTTTTTTATTTAAAAAAATGTTTTTAAAAAATATTTTACATTTTTTAACAATCAATTTATTAAATTGAAAGAAGTTTATGTTTTTTGACAAAAAAAATTTAAAAGTTGTTTATGAAAAAACAATAAACAGTATTAAAAATTAAAAAGTAACAAATAACAATAACTTAATTTAAATTAATATAAAAAACTTGTTACTTTTTTTACAAATTAATAAAAATTTGTTACAATTTTTAAAACATTTAAAAATTTTTTTCATGTCAAAAAATGTCAAGTAATAATAGTTTGAAGCTAGTTAGTTACTAGCTCTTTTCTTACCTTATTTCCCACTTACACCTTATTTTTCTTAGACTTACTAGACTTTTTTCCCACCTAGACTTACTTTTATGCTTATATTTAATATTTAAAATTAATTCTGATTTAATAAACTTTCTTGATCTAAATTAGTAGTAATTTTTTATTTTTCTTGCAAGCATAAGCGTGTAAGCGTTATTAACGTGTAAGTGTAACATGTTTTGGAAACATTTAATTTTAAAAGTAATTTTTCCTGCAGATCTCAAATTTTAACAACCTCTTGTAGCTCAAAATTTACCACAAAAACCAAAAATAAAGTTGTGATACAGGGCTATGAAGTTAAGTAAAAAACATGAGGTAAAAATGGGGTAAAAGAATGCTAAAATGCTATTGGTATTGCAACTTTTCTTCATTTTATCTACAAAAAAAAATTTTCAATTTAAATTTACCACTAATAGACGCATGTTATAATTTTAGTTTTTAAAAAAAAAAGATTTACCAGCATATATTGAATTTCTTAAAAAAAAAACTATATGTATTGAATTTCTTGGGTATTAAAGAGCATTAAAGTTGCAAATAATAAAGGTAATATGATGTTTGTCGTAATTTATTGTGTTGAAAATTTAGGTCAACTAAAATAAAATAAAAAACTAATTACAAGGGTTGACACAGTGGTTAGTTGGTGACGTTTGATTTAGAGGTCATAAGTTCAAATTTTGCTTCAGGCATTAAAATGTTGTATCAAAGAATAAAATGGTTTGACTTTAATTTTTTTTATTATATTCTGAAATAAGACCAAAAAGGATTTCTATAATTGTTTTTTGAGAAAAATGGTTAAGAGTTAGGGTTAGGGAACAAATCTGAAGAAAGACAATGATTTTAAGGAGTTATATTTAATCTGTATGTTGTATTATTTTGTAATTGAAGGGTTTCTCAGTGAAGCTCTAAAAAAATAAGCCAAAACTAGAAATGTCGGTTTTATTAAACGAGTGTTCAAAAATTAATCATTTACTGCCAAAAAAAAGTTGCTAAAAATTATCTTTATCTATAGCAAAAGCAATATGGATATACCAAGTAAAAACAATATAAAAAAAAATACCAAAAATAAAAATCTCCTGCCAAAATGCTTAAACAATATTTAATTTAAACTTTAATTTCATGTAATTTTGACAAGAGGGCTGAAAAATTGAAAAAGCAAAAAGCTTGTTTTAAGACTATTTAAGGTATTTTAAGGGTAATAGCACCTTTAAAACACAATAAATAGTCTTTAAAAAAATCATTTTTTTCTGCAACTTCAGTTGAATCGTCTTTACTGTAGTCTATTATATGACATCCTCAAAAACATATACTTGGTTTAACATAAATTTCATCAAAAAGACAGCAACGCTTTTCAGAATTCGATAATGTTTCAAATACACGTTATATAGATCAGTTAATGATTTTCTCAATTCCATTGAAACCTTTGCAAAATTTGTTGAACTAATATGCGTATTTGTCATAACATTGAAGAAGCACAACCAAGAAATATTGATTACATTGATTCGTAATACAATCAGATTATGATGCTTGTATAAAAATTTGATTCGATCTGTATTTGATGATTTTTAAATTTAGATGCATATCTCATATGTTTATATTTTGATGCATATCTCAAATGTTTATATTTTGATGCATATCTCGTATGTTTATATTTTGATTTTGATTTTTTTTTTTTTTAGGTTATTCTTTGGGTCTAGGATGGGTATCATATTTGACAGTAGACGAAAAAGTTCTTAAAAAAAAATTAAAGTACGATGAGATCATGCGTCTTGACTTGAATGAACGAAAAGGTGAACCCAATCGACAAAATAAAGGTTATGAGATTTTATAATTTAAATCGTGAAACATTCGTGTCATACATCAAACATTTGTGTCACGGAAAGTTATCTTTCTTAGTTTTACTTACTTCTTGCACTTTGAAGTTAAATAAATATTTTACACCAAAAAATAAAATATGTAGTATAAGTTTTTTTAAAAAAGTTTTACATAATTTTTAAAAAATAAACATTTCAAAGCATTTATTCAAAGAAATTTTTGTTTAATTTTTGTTTATTTTGTTGTAACAGGTAAGCATCACGATTTGTTTGTATTTTTATTTATTTTTTATTTATAGTTAAGCATTTGTATTTAATATAACGAAATATTTATGTTTTTTTTTTTTTTTTCATGTTTTTTTCATTGTTTTTTATTTCACTCTAACATAAATATAAGCAAGCAAAAACATTTTTTTGAGGTAAAGAAGTTTTAGAAATCATTATTTCTTACTCTAAAAACGATTTGATTGTTGCTTTTTATTGTGTTGATTGTTAGACACGTTAAGTAGTATTGTTAGCGATTTTTTTCTAATATTAAAAAATCCAGATCAGGTAATGCATGTTAATAATATGAATAATTAATAATTATTTTTATTTTTACTAACTTGTATATTGGAAATTTTTTTTACTTTTTTTCTTTTTATTGTTACAATAATAGCTGTCTCTTGATCGCTTGATTGATTTCCAACTTGCCAACTGATTCGCAAAGTTTCTTAAAAGTTTCAAAGTGTTTTGGGGTTACGATAAATACTCTCGGTTTTTATTACAGCCACTAGTCGGTTTTTATTTTATAAAATAGTATGATTTAATGACCTGAATGACTATAGCCATTTCGGTCATATGACTTTATATGAATATGGTCATATGACTTTATATGACTATGGTCATATGACCTAAATGACTATAGTTATTTAGGTCATATGACTATATATGACTTTGAGGTTATATAAGTATGGTCACATAACCTCAGGTTATAATGACTACAGTCATTCAGGATTGTAAATAAATTTAGGTGCACTACGAAGTTACAGTAATAACCAAGTTTCTTTTCAAACAAATTTCCAATAAAAGACTGATTTGCTTCATAACATGACTGTTTGCTTCATAACAACATCTTGTAACGATTTTTTATACTTGTACAATAGGTTATTCTATTAAGGAACAAACAAGGACTACTAAAATATCGGGACGCAAGACTTCAATTTCATGTAATTTTGAAAAGAGGGCTGAAAAATTGAAAAAGCATTAAGTTTTTTTTTTAATACTTTTTAAGGTGTTGTAAGAGTGCCAGCACCTTAAAACACCTTAAATAGTTAAATTAATGATGCTTTAGGATTGAGAAGTTTTAGGGAGCAATTTGATCATCACGTTGTGATGAGAGACATTACAGCCTGAATTAATGTTATTCAAATGTGATAGTATGAACATTATAGTTTCAATTCGTAGTTTTTGCTTGTCTTGGATTTTGAAAGAAACACTTAATTTTTATTAATGTACTATTGTTTTATTTTTATATTTATATTTTAATACTTAAATTTTTAACTTTGGTATTATATATAATTTAGTAAAATATTGTTAGATATTTTGTAACTGTATGTTCTGTATTTAGTAAAATATTGTAAATACGTGTTTATTATAAAACTGTATGTTCTGTATTTAGTAAAATATTGTTAGATATTTTGTAACTACTATGTTCACAAACAACTTTGTGTTCTGCTCAGAAATGCTGAAACCGTTCCTTCAAAAACCTTTTTTGAAAAATAACTTGTTTACCAAATATCTAACAATATTTTACTAAATTATATATAATACCAAAGTTAAAAATAAAACAATGTTATATATAATATATATATTTTTTTAATTTAAGTATTAAAGTATAAAATTTTTAATATATGCATCGAAAATCTTTCATTAACAATCACATGAACAATGCTATAACGGTATTGTGGATTTACATTATCAAGTCTACACATATACACTTTATTTGAATACGTGTTTATTATAAGCACTTATTCTTGTAAAAAAAAAAAAAAAAAAAAAAAAAAAAATCAACTGAGAAAATCAAATAATCAAGATAATTTACTGATTTACAAAAGCATTTATAGGACTAATCTAGATCTGGATTTATTAGTATTATTACAATTGCGGTACACAATTTATTTTTTTATTTCTTTCAATTAATTATTTTAGGTGCCTAGAAGTGCTTACGGTCCTATCACAGTTCACCGCAGAGGAGCATTTCAATGAAAGTTCATGCCTCCTTCCCTATTGATATTACTAAACTTGCCCAGAGGTGGCGTTAAACCACGGGTCTCTAATTTCTAAGGCAAGCACGCTAACCACTGTGCTACGGCTACTCTATGACGGCTGTTTAAGTTATAATAAAATGCTATATTGGTAACCTTTTAAGTCAACCCTTTTGTCAAAATTGCTTTGATTTGAAATGTTGCTTTTCTGTTGATTCTTAATCAACAAAAAAGTGTTAGTTTTATCGCTTTTGTAGCAACAACTTAGCGTAGCTAGATTATCCCTTATTTGGCAGACTAATATATTTAAACCTGACGCGTTTAAGGCAGTTAATTGATCGCGATCTGACTATGCACTGCTTAGCAAGTGAACTTGGATTTGTTTATAGTACAGTTAAGTTAGATACAGCTAGTTTAAACACAGATTTTTACTAAACAACAACTCTACCATTTTCATAGCTCAACCTATTTGATTTATCATAAGTCTCTAGGCCTATTTGATTTATCATAAGTCTCATCAAATATTGTAGTAAGACGGAATTATTCAAGTCATAGTAAATCAATGTCATTCAAATTGCAGTGAAAAGTTTAGACTAGGTGACTAGGTTTGGAATTTAGACGTGAAAGATTATTTAGAGACCAACTCACACAATTTTTAAAATAATTAACATCAAGTGGGTTGACTCGAACTAAATGTTTATTTGAAAATCAAACCAAACTATAAATAAAAACTTCCGCTGTTACAGTAACTAGTGTTTCAAAGCTCAGTGAAATTATTTAAAGTTTTTTAATACATATATTTAAAACACTAGCTAAAAAGCAACTATTGCAGTTTTAACACTATACCAATTTTTACAAAGGTTCTTGAATACATAATCCTCATTAAATGTTCGGATAAAAGAGATATTCACCCCCTAAAATTTGGATTCAATGCTAATTGTTCAACACTACATGCTGAATTTCCAATTATCGAAAAAATTAAACATAAAAGCAACAATTCCCTAACCCTGACCTATATTAAATGCAAAAAAAGCATCTAAATAGCATAGCTGATAGCATACAGCATAGCTACAACATTTTGATAGCTGTAAACAATTTGATAGCTGTAACTGGGATATCCTATTTGATAAATTATATTTCGATAAAAAATACCGCTCTGTATAGTAAACACATCTCTTCGTTATACAGCAATAATAGTGCAACAGTCTCATATCAAGGTTGTAAATTAAACTCTTTTCTTGTAAAGCAAAGTGTAAGACAATAATCGATTCTTTCACCTCACCTCCATAACATTTACACTAAAAGACTTCTTGAATCTATTAAAAATCATGGTATTGTCGGCACATCTATTTACGGTAACTTTTCTGGTGTGGTAGCATATGTGGATGATATCATACTTTTAAGCTCTACCCTCTCTGGTCTCAAAAAGCGGATAAAAACTTGCAATATTTGTAGTAGTTTAAGTTGTATTAAAATAAATGCCGAAATAACTGAGTTCTTGATTTCAGGTAAAGCACAAAAAACAAATCAATACGATAACAATTTTTAGTAATAAAAAAAAACTTCAGAATAAACTTAGACATCTGAGATTCACATGGGATACTAAACATTCAATTTTTGCTTCACTCAATTTTACAAATGTTGATGAAAAAATTTTTAGCCTTAGAGCTGTTGTTCAAACTTTTATCCAATTTGGAATCCGGTTTGCCCACCCAAGTTTTATTTCCTATATATTTAAATTATTAACTGTTCCTACCTTAACTAATGTTATGGAGCTATGTGAAAATAATTACGCTTTGATGAAAAAAGCTAGATTTGATTGGAAGGAGCGCGCTAAAATCGCTTTTAAATGTTTCAAAACACAGTAAGAACTATACAAATTCGCTATTTAAAATCCAGGAATTTTCAAAAAGTATTCAACAAAATAAATTAAACTTGTTTCTTTGTTTTCTTAGTAATAAAACAATTGCAGACATTATCTTTTCACAACTGAAACATATTTCAATATTGTTTTGTTGACAATACCCAGGACCTATGCCGTTTTCAGATATTAAATTTTCAAAATCTAATTCAAAATAAAAAGATGGTAAAAATAGCACTAAAAGTTAAATTCCCTCCGAAGTTGAACAAACTTTGAAGTGTGCAATAGAATGCTGGAATGCAAAAGAACGAAGATGAATTTTTTAACAAATTCTGGAGGAAAAAAATTTTAAGTGAAAATCACAAGAAACAACTTTCTTGTTTTTCTTTTTACCTCGTACAGTAGTGGCCATTGAATTGAGGCACCTAACAGAATTGCAGTTTTAATTAAGCAAGTCCAGTTTCTCTTTCATGAAATCGTATTATATGTACTATTAGTATAATAAAATATTATTAGTATAATCAGCAGCATTACTTTTAAAATTCATCAACAAAAAGTCTCAAAATCTTAGTATTTCGTAGGGTAGCCACGATTTTTCAATACAGTATACGAGAAGGCATACTTTTTACAAGCTTGTCACAGTACTCTGGGGTAATTTCATTTACCCACACCTGCCTCACCACATCTTTTAAATTTTCCTCTAACATTAGACGATGTGCTGACACTTTAGCTTTCATTAAGTTCCCACAATTTTCAATAACGTTCAAATCAGGTGAATTGGAGGGACAGTTCTTCAAAAGTTGCTCATCGTTGTCATGAAACCTCTTTTTTTTTTTTTTTCTCAACATGTTTATTTCACAACTACAAAGTATTTACAATTAACCAATCATCGATTGGCGAATAAAGATATACAAATATAAATATCGTAAACATAAAGTCCAAAATAAATAAGGGATAAATCTAAAATATTGTTACATTCAACTTTGAGACATGATAAAAATAAATACAAAGTACACAATAGAATAACGTGAACGTAAAAATTACCCAAGAAATAAACCTTCTATATTCTTTCAATCA